AAGCACTTGTCGTGCTTTAAATTAGAACGAGCTTATAAACTACAGCTTTATTTGGAAACACAAGTTCAACGAATTGAAAGTTAATCTTTGAGCTTGCCTATTTTTGTTTCAAAGCTATTCTTTTTGTAGAGACATCTGTTATGCATATTGGTTAAACTTGGTTCGAATAAAAAAATAATATATTTATTCAAAATCATAGATTATTAGTGATAGATTATCTACATTATTGAAAAATCTTTTCTTTATTTATTAAAAGCAGTAAAATAAAATATATTTCAATATTCGTTTCTTTTATTTTAAAATGAGTAATTTTTTTTTTATTTAAAAAATAAACTCACTCTACAGAGTGCAGAGGTACAGAGTTGAAATATTGCTGATATATTGCGAAAAGCTAATGGAAGCTATTAATGTCAAGGGAGCGGTACTATTAAAAAGCATAGGAATACGGTCAAAATGATTAAATTAATTTAAAGAATAAAATATTAAATATATGTATCTCAAAAATAGTTTGCATACCGCGAGCCCAACCTAACTATGAAAAGGATCATAAAATTTTTCATAAACAACGTTTTTAATTAAATAGAAACGTTTGGAACACGCTTTGAAATATATTGTAGAAAAAAAATTAATAAAACAATTTTAACACAATCTGTATGGAGATTTATATGTTAATTTAGTTCACTGCTTTGTTATAAGAAATTTTTTTAGAAATGTAAAAATACCTACATTTGCAGAAGTTTTTTATTCTAAGTAATTAGCATACTCGTTATTTACAGGTAGTTGTTACTTTACTTTGATATATAAATATTTTGTACATTTGGTATTTAAAGCTAAAATCAGAAGCTCTTAATGATGATGTCATACCTGTTGATTGATATACGTATACAGGGATTAGTTCATTTATATGTCAAATATTTTAATTGTTTATTGATATATTAAATAAATTCGGTTTAATATGGTGATTAAATTTACTCCACAGCAAATGATTTGCAATATTTTGAAATATTTTTCTTTGGAGTTAGTCGTATTATATGTTAAATGAACTGCTTTGGAAAATGCTTTAAGTATTAACACGTTTCGCAAATCCTCATATTATTTGTTCTACATAACGAAATGTGTTAGCTCTTTTGTTCTGTTCAAAAATGATTTACGCAATTTTATATGTACATACGTCTAAAAAAATCCCCAACTTCTTTCAGTATAATAATTAACTAATATATTAAAAATGACTACAAATTCAAATGAAATCAATCAAGCTAATTAAAAAAAATGCTGAAAAATAAATCAGAAAAAAAAATTAAGTATTTAAACTTAAAATTAATTTCTTAAAAAAATTAAAATTTTTACCAGACGCTAAAAGTTATACTTTTTAATGAACTTGATATATATGTGGCATGACTCTTCCATATAAATATTTGGATATATGATCCAACAAAAATAAGAATTCTAGCAATTGAGAAAAATAAGTAAAAATTCCTACTAAAATATTTAAGGATAGATTTAATTATTTTTATATTATTTTAATTAATTGGCTGGCCATACAGCTGTGTCGAGTATTGTGAAATAACCATCATCAGTGGTCCTGAAATTATTTCTTGTATTTAATTATTCGTAAATAAGTTTTGAGACTGCAAATACCAGGGATTAAACTCGTGTCCTGCCAAATTTGACGCTCGGAGTCAGCGTTTATTAGCCAACTGACCCAAAGCCGTACTTGATTTGTATGTTTGAAGTTTTTTCTGGAGTTTTGTTAATTTGTTGTGAAAACTTATTAAACTTATTATAACTTGTTGTGTTATATTAGAACGAAATCATAAATCAGCTTTGAAATAATTGAATTAATTATATTTATTTTTAATTGTTAAATTGCAATACTATTTTCTTTGTAAAGGCATTATTTGTTGCATCCTTTTATATTATTCTTTTCTATGTTATACAACTAATCTAGGAAAGTAATATGGAGAAAGTCAGGCTAATGTTACTCCATGATACGCACAGGTGAGATCATATATTTTTAATATAAGTTGTATTTTAACGTCAGTTATGACGGAAGTTACTATTATATTCAATAGAAACTAGCTTTACTCGAAAGAGCTGTATGGTCAGCCAAAAATTCAATTAATTAAAATAATATAAAGAGAATTTTAGTTGTTGTAATTCACTATTTTTCGAAACCTCTCTACCAAATATTAAATAGAAACTATATTAAATATAATAGTCATTGCTGTCACAACTGACGTTAAATTACAACTTATATTAAAAAGGATGCATTTAAAGTATACGAAGTAAACTTTTTCACTTCACTTATGCCTTAAGTAGTAGTTAACTTTGCTCAAATATGTAAATCAAAATAAAACAAATTTCAAGATGTATTAAAATAGAAAATAAAAATAAAAATAAAAAAATTAAAAGAAAAAAGATATTTTTCCAGAAATTCTTTGTATAAACAATTTCGAAGAAATAAATGGAGAATGGAAATGCATTTATAATAGTAGTAAATATGAACAAATATATAAAAAGAAAACTTGCCATAAAATTTTGCAACATTATTAAAATATGTTCCGGACTGATTTTCTTTTTTATTATTCAGAACTGTTTACCCGATTTTATTGCCTTAAATTATAAATGTTTTAAATATTCTGAAAAGTTTCTTATTCTTAAATAGAATAAGAAATACATATCCAATAAGTTCAGGAACTTTTATAGGACTGTTCTTTTCTACGTCATGTAACTTCCTTACAAAGAAGTATTTTATAGAAGAATTATCGTATGCGTAATATTAGACGATGATTACAGTAATAGTTGCTTAATTTATTAAATGCAATATGTAGAATCCGTTTTTCGTAAAACACTAGATTAAAAGAAACTCAAACCAGCTACTGATATGGAAAATAACAAGACACTGCCTAATAGACACTGTCTATGTTATGAGACTAAAAGTGATCCTTGTCCTACTCTTATAATTTTAAGATTATGCAATATAATTTAGCAATGATGTCGTAAGGTTGATGAAATTCAGCAAGAAATCAATATGATTTCCTAAATACGAAAAATGGAAGGAATTTATAGTGTATGTGAATTTATAATGATCTGGTTAATAGAGAAAGTGTGTTGACAAGAGTTGACAGCTGTTAAGTTGATTTATAACATTTTGAAATCTGTTAATAAAAGACTTGAATAATAATAATATGGAACTTTTATTTTAATTATTGTTTGTGAAAGTATAATTTAGCAAAATTAAAAATTACAAAATGTAATTTACTAATTATCTGCTCTAATTATACTATTTACTGATATATCTGATATGAATTCTTCTGATGAAAACTAATATGAGATCATGAAAAATTAAGTTAATTTTATTAAATGATTGTTATACTGACGGATAGTTGAAATACCCTGTATATCGAGTATCTCAAATAGATTATGAAAAAAAAAAATTATTAGACAAAGTAGACCAAAACTTTGAAGTTAACATTTAATGTGGTGACAAATATTTAACCAAAAACATAAAAGTCATAAGAGGGGCACTTGCATGGCATTTAAACATTTTGTGGTCAATAACGCAAGCACCATGAAGGATATAAGTCATATGAGACATAATATCTCTAGAGTACGCTATGTCATTCATTATAACACAGCCTAAAAAAAGAAAAAATTGTGCAAATGGGAAATTATAATTACAAAAATGTACTAAAGAGCTTAATGCGCATTTCAAGTGTTCTTCAACTGACATCGACGCGGGTTTTATTGCCTTACAGCGAGCGAATCAACTGATCATCACAATTCCTTCACTAGGCAATTTTGCATTTACAAAAACAGCGCAAGTACGTTCAGCACTTGCTGTGCTGTAGGAGCGGCAAGGTATGGCATACGAAAAGTTTTCTTCATAGAAATATAATTTAGTTTCGGATTGTAAGTTGTTGAGAACGTGAGGTGCTGCCAAGGCTCGAGTATGTTCTATGTTGGGCGTTGAGTCGTTGTGTCGTTGTGTTGGCATTTCTGCTTTTTTTAAATAATTCAAATAATTCAATGTAATGATTTGAATATTGAAAGTGTATTTAAAAACGAAAACTAAAAAACATTTTTATTAAACATAGTTTCATTTGCGGCGACATAAAAATATTTTACATTGAAAGTGCAAAAAAAGTGTTGCATAAATTTGTCTTTGCTTTTCACTGTTTTATTATTATTAATATTTCGAATATACAAGATTAATACATGTTTTATATTTATATTTAAAACGAGGAGATGTTCGTTTATTTTCGTTTTCATAAATGAGGACCGCGGCACGCGCTATACTTGTCTCTATAAGCACTTCGCGTAGTGACGTATGTTTGTGTGTTTGTGTGTCAGTTGCTCTGTTCATATGTTGTCTGCCGAAATCGCTTTATAATTCTTTATAATTTGTTGTGCACTTGAAAACGACATAATAACAACAAAAACACAAAAAAAGCTTAAATATTAAAACAAGAATAGTTGGCTATGGCCAAATTACAAAATAACAACAACAATTAAAGCGAAAAATTCATCTACAGATGTTTTCATTCTCAGTCCTTTGCGCATTTGACTTTATTGAGAATAACAAAAACAAAAACAAAAACAAAAACAAATATTAAGAACATAAAATAAAATAATTACAATAAAATCACCAAATAGCTGAATAAGAACAGCTGCAACAGAAATAACGACACCAAAGTTGTGTGGTTATGTTTACCGCCATTTGTATGCTCGCCCAAAAGAAGAAGACTGCATAATGAATTAAAAATAAAAATTGTTTGGCGCTATTTTTAAAAATCTTTGCTGCCAACAGCATCACCAGTAACGACAACAAATTTTCAATCTCTTATAGCGTCCAAACTACGACAAAAAAAGAGTCTGAAATAAAAATTCAAAATTGAAAAATTTTCTTAAAAATTAAAATATATTCATTCAATAAATTTTTAAAATTAATTAAAAAAACACACTTATTACAAAAACAAAAACAAAAAAGCATTGTAAAATATGTAATTCAGCATAGAGAAAATGAACTTTGCGCGTGTTTATTTGTCCAAGTATTTATCTTTGTTTCTGTTAGAGAAATTTTCACCAAAACATAATTTGAAACTTCTAAGTATTTTGAACAAATCTAGAAATCCACAAATGTAAAAACGAAAACTAAAGCACCCATATATCTATTCACCAGTGAATATTAAACAAGCATATAATGCAGGATTTTATGATCCTGAATTTGAGCACAGCAAGCAACGTAAGTAGGTTACCTATTCACTTAATTGGTGATCCACAAGAAATTAGTATAGTATAGTATATAGTATATTAGTATAGAGTGCTGTTGTACGCATACTTCATTAAAATAAAATATAAGAATTTGTGTTAAAATAACGTCTACACACTGCATTTTTATTATAAAGTTGGAACGCCGGTTGTTATGAGTGACTATATGTGAAAATATTGACTGTTTATTACTGTCTAAACACGACTTCAAAAAAAGTAGCGAGATTTATATAGTTACTTATAGTTATCTATATAAATCAGATAACATTTTCTTTTGCTCTAATTTTCAAAATATGATTTCGTCCTAAGACTTGGACTTTTTGGATTTTTTCATATATTTTATATATTTCTATCTAAATTGTTTTTACTTTTGTCACTTTTGTTAAAAAACAAAAAAACTTAATAGTAATCTGTTTTCAATATTAACCTATATATATAGGGTATCAAAAATGTGTCTTCTCTGAAATCCTTTAGCTAAATAGCTTATGTCATACATAAATTTTTAGTTCATTTGATATCCTAAGTCGTAAGTTGTTCCATACATATTGATACCTGCCAATCTAATTTAAGCTCTAGGAAATAAGTATAACCTCAACTGAATTTTAACTACCCCACTTTCAATATTTCAATAATGAAAACAATGTCATAGAAAAACTAAATTGTTAACATAAAAATCCCTATTTGTGTTTAATGCTGCTGATCTGGTTACTACGAATACGGAATATTTATTAGATTGAATACTGATGTATGTGACAGCACTTAGTATTAATTTAGAGAATATTATCATATATTATATGTACACTTTTGCAATTAACTCGAAATATGTAAAGAACCCAAAGATTAGTTCTACTAAATATATAAACATAAATAATGAGCTCATCATCTCAAAGTGATTCTTAATATATTCGTTATATTCATATATTTTATTCATATATATACGTATACTTAGGAATATATTATATCTACATTATGTTAATAGAAATAACTGTAAAATGCTATAAATTTTCATTATGTTGACAATTCATATCAATTAAATATTTGTGTTTAACTAATATAATTAAAAAAAATTTTGTTTTTTAAGGGAATGTCGGGGTGTGATCAAAGCACTGTCGAATCATTGGCCGAAGATCCAACAGATTCACCATTCGAAGCCGATGACTGTCTCAAAGTTCGGAAGTATTGGTGTTTTCTACTTTCCAGCATATTTACATTCTTTATTGGAGTGCTTATTGTATTGCTATGGCGATCTTTTACATTTCTCTGCTGCCGCAAAGCCCCCGAGCTGGGACCAAACGATCCCAAGCAAAAGGAGCAGAAAGCATCACGCAACAAACAGGAATTCGAGGGAACTTTTATGACAGAAGCAAAAGACTGGGCTGGCGAGCTTATATCGGGTCAAACAACAACTGGTCGAATTTTGGTAAGACTATAGTTTTCGGTTATGAAATTCATATTTTTAAAGTAAAATCGTTAGAAACTTTAAGATGACTTTGCTGACGGTGTGAATTATTTTCAGTTCAAATATTTCTGGGCAGTTAACACTAATTTAAATTGAATAATATTTTTCAGTGAACTTCAATTCTTATGCAATTTATTCCGATATTTTAGCACAAAAACTGTTTTCCGTATTTCATAACAAACAGGATACAAAAGCAGTTATACTTCCGGCGCTTGACACGTTAAATGCAAAACCCCTATACCTTTAACCACGCGAGGAGGAACTTTATTAGAGCCAATTCAAAATTTCAAACTTCATGAAAATGCAGATTTGTTCCCGAAGTAATTTGCATTAAACAAAAAGTGTAATTGTGTGTTAAAAACTTTCGTGCCGGAATCACGATATGTAATAAAAATAAAACTTCAAATTTTTTATTGCATGAATTTAGTTATCTTAATTATAGAAAAACTAATAACTCACAAGTAAACTAAAATGCTTAAATTATTCTAATCTGTAATTAAGTTAAGAAACAATTTACTTATTAAAAGCATTAATTCATTAAAGCCACTTCATTCTGCCTTATTTAGTACATGAAAATGTCTAATAGTAAGAATAAAGTGGGACTTTTATACCCTTTCAACTTATAACAAAGTCTTCGCCTTCTTTGAAAAGGTTTCAGTATTCCGAACCACTATTTTATTGTTATTTGGCCTCTGGTGAATAGTGGTGAATCCCCGTTTCTTCAAGAACTATAAGTCTGCGTAAACGCATATGTTTTTTGGTTATTCCGTTCTAATACATATATTTAAGAGATCACGCCCAACGCGTGAAGAGGTCATAAATCTGTATGAAAGAATTTTAAAAAGCGGATACCTGAAATGCTTTGTAAATAATTTTCTTAATTCTCAATACAATGAAGTTTACAATGAAGCTAGAAGTTTGTCTGGTAGGTTCGATAGCATAATGTATTTTTGAAATTTGATTTATAAAAATACTCTGATTATATGAAGGGGATACAAAAGATCTCTATGGTATATCTTAGTGCGAAATCGCTAAAATGAATAATTATACTAGTGACAGATTTTTGCCTTCCAGTGCTGTTTCTGTTTTTATCAACTAAACTGATACGATCATGTTTAAATTCAATTACCCACCTTTTTATTATTCCATATGATGACATAAAGTCTCGTAAACATTCTAGTGCAGACTTAGTGAGTAACATCGTATAACATGTGCAAAAATTACAATAATCGTGAGATAGCTGCGCCACTCTGTTTTCTCGTATTTGCAAACTCTTAAAGTCTGCCGATAAAAAAAATTTCAAATGTTATTTTTAAGTTTCTATTTGAGAGTATTGCTTATCAAATTAAAAAAATGTTTTAGTCTTGGAACATATGCTTTTTTGTCAATTTTGGGCGCATAATTTTTTAACACCCTTACAACCATATATAATTTTCGGAATTTTTAATAGCTAATTTGATCTAAAAACATAATTTTAATTTTATTTTTTTTATTGGAATGTAACATGTATATATACATATATAGTATATATACTAGTTGTACTTGAATTTATTCAATTACAAATATGTTAAACGGAAAACTAATCTAAGAAAATGTGCATTTAGGATTTCTGCAATTGATTTGTTTTTTACATTACTTTTGCTATTGGTTCATTTGCTCTTTTTCAATAAATTGAAATACTATTGTTTTCTTTAAATATGTATAGAAAATTTTTAAATGCTCTTCAACATATTCATTTCGTGTACTCCGTTTACTCGTATTGCATCCAAAGCTAATTCAGTGCACGTTCGTAAATACATTTCACAGCGCAAGTGCTCGTACGTGGTACACAAGTTTGCTTCAAATCAAAATATTCATGAAACATATTTTTCCATTGACATAGTTTTGGAAAAGCTTGTTCTGCGTTTTCGACTCGTAGCTCAGCTATTTGTACCGCTTTGCGTGTTGCCGTTAAATTAATACAATACAAAATTTATTAAATTTAAGGCTAAAGACATACAAATGCAATTCAGAAATATGTTCTGTGTTTACCATAGACTTTTATTGTCTTTGACATAATTCGAAGTGAAACTAGACATATGTGTTTAGAGTCTTCAAATGTTTACGTAGTTTATTTATTCATGCTACCTGAGCAATGTTTGTATTGAAGAAACTTTAATCATATGCTTACAGTTTTTCAATTGTCAAAGAAAAGTCATAAAACCCATGTATGTGCTGAGTAAAAAAAAAATTAATTACTCATACGCAACGTTCGCCCAACATATCTCAAATTAAGTCAATAGTATTCCTAGATATTAATGCTTTTCTTTTAAATATCTACAAGGGATTACAAATATGTTTACGTAAAGTTATATTATATAAGTTATATTAAATGTTAACTTATATATTGAGTATATATATAAAGTATATAAATTAAGTTTGATTGATATATATAGTGGACACATTTAGATTGAATTAAGCCGTTGTTTAATATATTCTTTTAATGTCACTTTGAATGCAAATATTTCGTTCACTTCCTTATGTTCTTTTTTCGTAAGTACGAAAGTGAATGTAGTTAATACAAAATATATTTTAACATTGCATATTTTTAAAAATACTGATGGTCGGTTGTGTAACACCATGATCTTACTAGAATCCACAATAAAATCATCAATCATTGTTAAACTATTTTGTCAATGTTATAAATTGAATGATCTTAGTGGAGAAAAGCTAGCAAAATATAGTAAACTAATGAGGGTGACTACTATGTTGTTAAAATAATCATTATTTTCTGCTATGGAAAGAGACAGAAATAGAAAATATATTTGATTCTTTTTTTTTGTTGCTACAGTTTTTGAAATAGTCTTTGCATATTATATTCATTTTTGGGACATGTGGACCAATAACACAATATCTGGTTATGATATTTATTAAGATGAAATTGCAGTTCTTCTCAAGGATATAAACCTCAGTGAGCTTTTCAGGTCAGATGCCCTTTTTTGTCAGTTGAGCCTGGTGAAAAAAGTTCCTTTATTCTGTCATCCATTTTTTAGTTCTAATCGAATAATTAGTTTATTAATTTCGCAGCCGAATTTGAGCAGTTATCTACTCAAATAACTATTCGTACTACATATTAATAAAATAAATATTTCACAATATTACGAATTTAATAAATTTTAATCTTCATTAAAATTTTTATAATACATATGTATTTTTATTATTGTATGTGTTTATATCTCAGAAAAATAAAAGAAAAAAATTCGATATCGGTATATTAATTTATTCCACATAAATGCTGTTGAATTCTATAATATATTTTGTAGTTATATCAATGTTTTTTATTTGGAACTATGTGTCGCTCTGAAAAACTTGCTTCCACATCATTTTCTCTTTATTATTGAAAGAGAAATAAAATATTACATTCGAGTACTATTTGTTAATTTATTATTTTGATTTGTTTTACCAAATTAGGTGTGCTATTTACGAAAATATGTATTCACAAAATTTCTTTTAACATTACTATGAAAACTAAAAGTAGAAAAAATAAAAGTATGTTTATTTAGTGTAAAACCGAATGTTATAAAAACTTGATAGCATTAGGTTCGCGGCCAAGGTACGGATACTATTAAGTACCTTACGTTCTCGTACACTTAAAAAACTCGACATCGGTAAGCTGCGATCATGAAAGATAGCCGAAGTCTTCGCCTTTCAACTCTCTACCCGATTGAATAATCAATCCTTCCATCCCGATGATGCCGATAGACGGTGGGGTCATATCTATCACTCCCTACGAACAACTACGAAAGATGTTCTTGGTTTCTAACGTCCTCCGCGATAAAACCAATGGCATGATGACAAGTGTCGCCAAACTACTGCTACGGAGAATGCGACCAATAAATGGAATTGCAGTCAGCAGCTGCGCAAACCATGCGAAAAAAAATACAGGAAAATGAGGACGGTAAAAGGGCGCCTATTTATACGGAAAAAAATAGAAAGAGAAAGGCGCAAGCGAGAGGAAATCACAGAAGCATGAACGTTATCACAGAATAATGAAACAGCACTAGAATTGTCTCGAATGATCCTTTACGTGTTTGCGACGACTACCGCATCCGAATGACCTATATCAAGATACATATAATTTAGCGAATTAACAGCCAGCGAATCTGCTGGTTGTCATGAAAATGGGTGAAGATGCTCCAGCGAAAAACGTGTTTGAACCGATATTTGCGAAAGAAGATGTAGGGGTAGACCCTGTCTCCGGTGGAGTAATCAATTTGAGGGAACACTAATCGGAATGAGAGAACGCAGCAGAGGCACCTACAGAGACATGTTGCGTCAGACCAAAATTATAATTACAAAAACTTTATAAAGATCTTTAGTGTAATTACATTAAACTTTGATTCGAAAATATTACTGAAAAGTAAAGCGAAAAAGTGAAAATTTCGAAGAAAATATAATATAAAAAGAATAAAAAATAAAAAAATTAATTTTCTAAAAACATTTTTTATATTTAGAATGATACACAAATATATGCAATAGAAAAGCTACTTACTAAAAAATCACTAAACTTTATGAAAAAGCCAAACACAAACTAAAATAGATGAAAGCGGAAGCCCATAGACAACATACTCGTATAACAACCCAAGCGCCCATTGACGTTCAATTGATTGTTTTTAGGCCCATATAGGAATAAATGTATATGCGACATGGAAACTCTTCGGGGAGTAGAGTTTGTTGAATGGTTAGTTTGTTTATTAGTTTGCTTGATTGCTCGGTTGCTTAGTTGCTTTATTGTTAGATTCAAATTTCAATGTGAAAGTAAAGTTTTCCGTTTACGTATAGAAGGCACATACTCTTACAAATAAGGTACAAAACCCTTTCAACCTCATTGTCAATAACTTACGTATCAAGAGAATTTGTACGCCATATATTATATATTAACAGCACACATACAACAAATTTAACCGAAAATCAATAAAGTA